AAGAACTTTAAGCTAAAATCTAGAAGGGTAAATGAGAGTTAATAAATGTCTAGAATTCTTTAAAAGAACCAAGCAATGTAAATCTATGGCATTAAAATGAGTATCCTAAGAGTACCTTGTCTTTGGAAATGTCCTCAAAATGCCCTAAAAGTTTTCGAGGGCAAGCAAAATGACATAGGTAGAGGTAGCCATTATGAAAAGACATTTTGCATGGACACAGACTATATTCAGTGAAGGTCTGAGGAGGGGGCATGGAGTGGGGTAGAGGGGGGAGACATTTTAAACTTAAGGGAGGGGGCATGGAGTGGGGTAGAGGGGGGAGACATTTTGAAAAACTTAAGTAGGAAAAATGTTAATGGGGATAATGGAGAAACTTCAGATTGAGTATATTATTGTGTTAAAGAAATCAGTCAGTTTCAGAATTCCTACTATGTGTGCAGCCTATTGTTAAATGTTGTACATAAAAAGGAAAATTGGACAGATCCTATTTCTTTCAAATGGGTGACAGATAATTATACAAATAATTATCACACCGTGAAATTGGCATTAGGCTGGGGGCTTGCACAAATTCCCCTGACAGCCCTGATGGAAATGGGACAAAGAAGAGTTAGGTGAGGCATTTAAATTCATGCAAAGTTATTGATGGATTTATATGTTAACAAACCAATAGCAACATTGGTTTAGTTGGGGGCAGGGGGTGGGGGAGCTGGAGGGTGGCAGCAGTTACCAGACATGCATCACATTAGAAAGACAAAAAGAAACCAGGAAATTCTCTTCCAAGACATCGTGGGGAAAAATATCCATAACTTCCTTCTGGTACAATGTGCTTGCTAGGAATTTATTTTTTCCCCTCATAATTAAAATCACACACATACTCAAGCCCTTAGAGTTTTGTGAGCATATTACATATTCAAGACATCAACTGAGCATGGTATTGTCAAGTGTGTGATTATAAGGAAAGGGTTACGGAAGGGGGTGTTTCAGACGTGAGAAGGCTGGATAGAAGGTTGAAAAACACCGTTTTCCTATTTGCAAAAACTCTGAACTTTTAAGCTCCCCAAAATACACGTGTGTGTGTCTGTGAGCGCAGGCAGATCTATTTTGGTAGGATTTAAAAACAATTTTTAAAAATCATGCTCTCTCTGTGTTGTTGCGCTGCAAACATGGAGCACCCCCTTAGGATCCTGTGGCAAAAGCTGCAGCAGAAGCACCGCTGGCGGCGCTGTTTACTCTGCTTTCCAAGCAACCCTCTCCCCATTCCCCCACTGGGAGCCACCATCTCCGGGGGGGAAATATCCATAACTTCCTTCTGGTACAATGTGCTTGCTAGCAATTTATTTTTTCCCTCGTAATTAAAATCACACACATACTCAAGCCCTTAGAGTTTTGTGAGCATATTACATATTCAAGACATCAACTGAGCATGGTATTGCCAAGTGTGTGATTATAAGGAAAGGGTTAAACAGAAGGGGGTGTTTCAGACATGGGAAGGCTGGATAGAAGGTTGAAAAACACCGTTTTCCTATTTGCAAAAACTCTGAACTTTTAAGCTCCCCAAAATACACGTGTGTGTGTCTGTGAGCGCAGGCAGATCTATTTTGGTAGGATTTAAAAACAATTTTTAAAAATCATGCTCTCTCTGTGTTGTTGCGCTGCAAACATGGAGCACCCCCTTAGGATCCTGTGGCAAAAGCTGCAGCAGAAGCACCGCTGGCGGCGCTGTTTACTCTGCTTTCCAAGCAACCCTCTCCCCATTCCCCCACTGGGAGCCACCATCTCCGAGCCTGGGTCACCTCTGGGGACCTGGAACTGGGGGCAGGGGCCCAGGAACCTGGTTCGTCTGGAAAACTTTGCTGCTCGTGGGAGCGAAGGCTCTAGTCCTGGTGCATGGGAACGCACCACCAGCCAGCCGCCTCCGCCTGGCGCTGGGCTGTGGCCCTACCTCTCCGGGTGAGGTATGGGCTCCCTGTGTTCAGCCAGTGGGCCGGGCTGGTAGTGCGAGGCGGGGCTGAGGGTGGGGGCTCGGCTTCGTGTATGAGGCCAGTGGCGCCAGTTTAACTTCTGACTTGGGGTTATTTGGGGAGTGTACGAACCGCACAGGCTGGTGGAGGTGGTGGAGGTGGTGGTGGTGGTGGTGGTGGTGGTGGCGGCCGCAGAGGCTGCCACAGACGGTGATTTTAAAAAAAAGGCAGCAGTGAGTGATGGGAGCATCATGGCTCCCGGGCGCAGGGGCGGGCAGGAGTGCTGAGAGAAAGGGGAGCATCCGAAACCCAACAGCAGCTCTGGAGGCGCTGGCCTGGTTTTTGTTCGGCTGTGCTCAGTGCCAGGCAGCCCAAGCGAACAACTCCAGTCACAACAGCAATCCACCTTCCCGCAGCCAAAGGAGACTGGACTGCCATCCATCCTATTGTTTAGACACTTGCCAGGAGCTCTGGAGTCAGTGGAGCCACCAAATCCTTGCTCCTGGTCACTGCTCTCCCCGGCCAGGCTGACAGGACTGGACACTCCAGCGGCAGGGCTGATGGGACTGGGCACCACCATCTTGTGGCTATGGGCGCTGCCATCTTTGTGTCAGACTGATGGTTATTTTGCATATTACCCTTTTATTAGACAGGATATGATGTTATCCTATATAATAAAGAGATAATATGCAAATTAACCCTCACTCTGTAAAGTGATCACAAGATGGCAGCCACAGAGCGGGGGTAGGGCAGCGGGGGTGGGGCCAGTGGCTGCTCCACATGCTTCCGCCAGGGTTCCTGCAGCCCCATGGCTGCGGCCCTTTCACGCGGCTTCTGTCAGGGGTTTCCGCAGCCCAAGCGCCGGGGGAGCAGGAGCGGAGGAGGTGGGGTTGCCATGGAGCCGGAGTGGAGAAGGTGGGGAAGTGGAAGTGGAGGAGGCAGGCCACCACCGGAGAGGAGGAGGCAGGGCTGCGGGAGCCAGAGCTGAGGTGGAGGGGCTGCCTTGCTCCCACAGAGGTGGTGGGTGAGCCACAGTTCAGGAGCCTCCAGGAGTGGCGACGCCAGGCCATCCAGTGCTGCATCCAGTCCCTGAGGCATGCCCGCCAGGTCCGTGATGCCAAATGCCCGCAGCTGTCCTGCCAGAAGATGATGTGGGTTGTGCAGCACACCAAGGGCTACCAGCGCAAGACCAATGGAGATTGCGGAGTGTGCAAGCAGTTCATGGCCCTTTGTTGCTACCATGCCAAACACTGCCAAGGAAACACATGCCCCATTCCCTACAACCTCAACATCAAGCAGAAGCTCTGCCAGCAGAAGACACAGCACCACTGGCAGCACGCGTAGCTCATGTGCGAGCAAATGCCACCATCAACACCCGCACCGTGCCTCAGCCGAGTCTGCCTTCCCCTCCTTCAACACCACCCCGGCCCCACACACTGCATCCCAGCACACCCTGGACACCACAGCCCCCCAACTCTGCCCCAGACCTCGCCTGTGAGCATGTTACTAGCCGGCTTCTCCAGTGTGGCCAGAACTCAGCCCCCCACCAGTTTGCACTGGGAAGCCCACTAACCAGGTGCCAACCCCACCGCCCTCCACCCAGGCCCACCTGCAGCAGTGGAGATGCTCGGAAGATTGTACTTGAGGCGCAGCAGCAGCACTTGTACTGGGTGAGCACCAACAATGGTATGCCCTTGAGGCACAGTGACCCCCGAGAACCAGATGGCCCCCATGGGCCTGAATGTGACCCAACCAGGTCAGTGGGCCTGTTATTCTGCCCCTCCAACCCCCGGCAGTGGCAGCTGGCACCCATCCCCCAGCAACAGCCAATGTGAGGCATGCCCAGATCCATGATGTCTATGCAGACCCAAGATGCAGCCACCTCAGAGCATCTCTCCAGGTGCCCTGCAGGACCTGCTGCGGACCCTGAAGTCTCCCAGCTCCCCCAGCAGCGGCACGTGCTCAATATCCTCAAGTCAAACCCTCCGCTGATGGCAGCTCTCATCAAATAGCACACAGCCTGCCCTAACCGGTTTGGCTCAGTGGATAGAGCATCGGCCTGCGGGCTCA